TATTTGGAAGAAAATTATCGTACACGAGTCAAACGTTCAGAATACAGCTATTTATCTAGATGTTACAGCTATTTATCCTTTTCAGCACTCATTTTCAATACTTTATTGCTAAACTATCGACCTCAGCTTTGAAAAAAAAAACTGACCTAAGTGCGGCAGGAACGTTAACTTGTGCTCGTGAGAGAGAGTCATTCTCCACAATGATTGGTCGAGAAGACGTGAGATGAGATGAAAGACATGCGTAACACGTTCAAGGCTCCTCACAATCATGAAGGTGCACGTACAGTAGGATCCACACAGCTAGATCAAAGAGTATAGAAGCGATATGATTACAACGACTATCATTTGGTGTCACAAAAATCTGAAATTATCGTACATTACGCTATTATTGATCGTACATCGTACAGAGGTCAAAATTATGGTACAAATATGATAATTATCATACGTCTGGCAACACTGGTGTTGAGGAAGTAGATGTCTCTCCGATGGCCTTTCCCCGCGGGTCTCTCCGGGCGTAGTAAGGAGAACCGCTGTCATCCACCGCAGTGTTCATGAGCTTGTTTTGGGTAACGTTACGGTCATACTTCAGAACCAGGTTTGGGCCGTTATACCTGACAATGGACAAACAACAAAAGCTTTAATGGCCGACAATCCTCAAACCTGTCAAGAACCGAAAAATATTAATGGTCTTCAAGATTATTACTTTATAGCCCAAGAGGCTATGTGTGACCCTGGAGCACAAAAGCAGTCTTAAGTCGCTGGGGTATATTTGTAGCAATAGCCAAAAATACATTGTATGGGGCAAAATTATAGATTTTTCTTTTATGCCAAAAATCATTAGGATATTAAGTAAAGATCTTGTTCCATGAAGATATTTTGTAAATTTCCTACCCTAAATATATCAAAACTTAATTTTTGATTAGTAATATGCATTGCTAAGAACTTCATTTGGACAACTTTAAAGATGATTTTCTCAATATTTAGATTTTTTTTTGCACCCTCAGATTCCAGATTTTCAAATAGTTGTATCTCAGCCAAATATTGTCCTATCCTAACAAACCATACATCAATGGAAAGCTTATTTATTCAGCTTTCAGATGATGTATTAATCTCAATTTCAAAAAAATGGACCCTTATGACTGGTTTTGTGGTCCAGGATTACCTTTCAGAAAAAAATAATTACCTTTTTGTTACTCTGTTCAATTTTCTTTTCTATATATAGTTTTTAAAAAATGTTGGCTATTTTTTATGATTTTATATATTATATTTTTTAAGACAGATTTAAATAGCGAGTAGATATGCATATATATATATTCATACATTTCATTTTATTTAATAATAACAAGTCAGGTTATGCTGGAGTTTCTTTACCCAGCCACCACCACCTCCAGATGCCCGTCTCCATCTCCGCCATCCCATAATTCCGCTGGGTGGGGTTGTGAAGGGCATCTGGAGGCAGAACCGTATCCGTGGTGACGGAGAACATGGGCTGGGCTTGAGAGAGAGCTGACAGAGCCAAACCGAGAAGACACGCCCACCACATCCTCATCTCCACCTGTCAATCAAACAGTGTTCATCACAGAGTGCAAACTGACAGCAGTATTCATACTTGTGATTCATAATCATGCAGTAGGTGCATGTGAAAAGCACTTGTGGCATTGCTTACACAGCATATGGATATGAAAACATAAATAAGATCATGCAATTATATTTCAATTAAACTGAAAGAAAGGAAAGTGTGGCGAGGATGCAAAACAGAACAAATATGATGTTTTGCATTAAAGAAAACAAACGAAAGAGACTTTCAGAGCAGAACTAAGCAAACCAAAGCGACATGACCGGACAGAATTTTTCATGCATTTGTAAGTCATCATCACCTCAACAGAGAGAACTGTTATTTTAGCTTTAGAAGTAAATAATAATGTGTCATATCCACCTGTCGTGCTGACTGGGCTGGATTATAGTGGATACTCACGCTCTCAGAGTTTCCAGCACGTGGCTTGACTCAAAAGCTTGGAAAAATGATGTGTGATTTCTGTTTTATACGGCGTGTATTCGCTGCTTACACAACTTCACTGCAGCCGCCTTACACAGGCGCTTGTGTAAGCGACTGACCAATCACTGTCGAGTATTTTAAATACTGTGGAGGTCCGACCAATCACAGGCCCGCAAGAGAAAAGAGGGCGTTAACGACGCGCGGTTCAGCATGCAGATACGTTACGTCCCTAACAAACTCAAACAAATAACCTTGAATGAATTTAATTGGCTAAAATAATACAGTTTATTTTATTATTTATTACATAAAATAATCAGGTTTGCATGTATTGTTTATAAATAATTGTAATGTTTGTTGTGAATAATAGTAGTGCAGCATTTGTTACTGAAAAAGTTATCACAAGTACTTGTAACGTATTATACTTGGCATTGATTTCAGTGATTAAGATAATTATTTTCGCAGTTGAATGAATTAAATGATAAAATGTTTACTATGGATACTTTGGGTAGATGTCAGCATCGCATCTAAACTACACTATTAAACTACAACTCCCATAATAGGCTTTCCAATCGTGACGTCATGGCGTCCGTACGTCTCCAAACATCCGGTTATGGTTTCAACGTTTCGGCGAACTGAAAAATATTGAGACGTAAGTAGAAGAAAACTTCGAATAATTTCCTCTACAAATATTGATTTTTACATCGTAACATACTATCCTAGAAGATTTTGATGTTACTGTCAGTACTTGATAGTTGTTTTGAAAAGGTATTTCGGGTTTCTAAATGGTGTCACGGTCAGTAAATATGTGTTTGTGTTATGAAAGCTTACTATTTTTAAAACGGAGAATGTATTTCAAACAGTAGTATGCTACATTGTTGTCATTTGATTTGATTTGTCGTTTATTATCTTGTAAATTAAAATTATTGTGCGTTGTTCATCCAACATCGTCCAGAAATATCAGTTTTAAATAATGAAAACGACGGATTTAAATAATGAGTCAAAAAAGGATGTTGTAAAATCACAACATGTATAATGCCCTATCTGTGTAACACACTGGAAATGAAAGGGCAAATTATATTATATAAATGCAGGCCATTTACATGGACACTTCTAACAGTGTGGTCGTATGCTATTCTAAAAACAGCATTTGTCCTCATTACACTTTCTTTACACAGATCCCTATGGAGACTGAAGCAGCTCAGCCAGACGAGGGGCCCAATGCGGCTGCTTCGGCCCGAACGAAAAAGCCCACCATAGAAATCTACGTGCCCAAGAAACAGGCCGAGAAAATGGAGAAGCCTCAGACAGATGGTGACAAGAAATCCAGACCCAGGCCCCGGTACACTGACAAGGCCCGCAAGAACAAGAAGGATAAAGCCAAAGCGACAGAGACTCCAAACGGAGAGGTAAAACAGGAAGACGGGGGGCGGGAGGAGGGAGATAAAGAAAACCTAAACATGCACACAGAAAAAGAGGAGGAGTCTAGAGATGATACAGACAATGTATCCAGAACTATAAACACACCAGAGGACACGGGTAGCGCACTAGAACATGATGGGGTGCCAGAGAAGGAGGATGAAGAGGAGAACTGGGATTCTTTGTTTAATGATGATGGTGACTGTCTTGACCCACATTTAGTGGAGGAGGTAAGATCGATTCAATCCCTTCTCTCATTTTTGAGTGAGCTGTCCCTTTAATGATGACATAATGAACTGAGATGCATTAGCCGGGGTTTGTGCCCATGTTTGATTCTTCTTCCTGTTTCAGATGTCTCTTACGGAGGGCCGCAAGAAGTCGTCTATACAGGAGGCGCGCTTCGATAACTATAATTGGACGCCGGAGGAGGAAGAGGAGGTGGAGCTTCGGGACGATGAGCTGTCACACATCGTGGAGATTTACGATTTCCCGCCTGAGTTCAAGACGGAGGACTTGATCAGATCCTTCAGCTCGTTCCAGTGTGTGAAGCTCTGATCATGAATCGCACTGATCTAATATCGTCTGCAGTAGTGCTCCCCAAACAGGGGTTGATGAAAAGATAATAATTGATTAAATCGAACCACCATTTAATAAATGGGGCCTTGCAATTAATCAAGCTAAAACTGAAATAATGACTGTGTTTGTAAGAAACAAGTCCATCATTAATGTCTTTTAACTTTCAAACATGGATTCCGGCTCAAATAGTCCACTATCCATAATTTTTATTTTTTTGAGAAAGCTGCCAAAATAAAAGGTTGAACGTCGAAAGTGAAGAATTTACGGCATAAATATTTGTATTGCAACTGGTAGTGTTTATTTGCAATTTGCATAAAAATAAAAACGCTAAAAAAGATAAAAATTTGATCTGATTAACTTACATGTCATGTAACCATTGACTGACATCTGAGAACCATATAAATGCCGATGTGTTATTAAATGATTGAAATAATCGCGTGTGTTTTCAGGCAGAAGGGGTTTGACATCAAGTGGATGGATGACATGCATGTCCTCGGTTTGTTCTCCAGTCCCATCGCAGGTCAGTGTGCTTTCCAGATGTTGTGAATGGCTGTATGCTGCCTATAAGATCTCTGGAATCAATAGCTGGTTGACCTGGAGGAAAATAGCATGATGGTTTTAACTTCAGTGACGTGTTTGCGGACCTGAAATTGTCTGCAGAAGCACTGTGAAAAAGAAACCAAAGAGTTTGAAGATTAGAAATGTCCTGAGAGGAGCTGTATTAGGTGTCGTTACCAAATTTAGATCCAGAAACTGTCTATTTTTTTGTTGTTAATTGATTGCTAGCTATTGTATGTTTATATGTTCAAAACTTATCCAGCTTATTCTCCAAAAACGTACATGTCATTAGCATCACACACTCAAAATATCGATGAGCCACCAAAAATGAGAAACCGTGCCCTTTTCTTGTGTATACGTGTGTGTTTGTGTAGCTCGTGATGCTCTGAGGATGAAGAACCCCATGATGAAGGTCAGGCCTCTCTCCAAATCATCAAACGCCACTAAAGCCAAAGCGCGCAGCTGCTCCGGTACTCCTGCTCTCTCTTATTCACTCATGTTTTATCTATTATGAGACTGTTTTGTGCATTCATCACAAATTAATTCATAAATCCAGACTTGTTTAATATTTTTTCCCCCTCCAAACCTGACTGTCTCTGTGTAGATTATCTGCTGCCGGCTAAAGAGCGTCCTCAGACGAGTGCGGCTCTGGCGCGCCGCCTGGTGATCGGGGCTCTGGGTGTGAAGAGTAATCAGACCAGAGAAGAGCGAGAGGCCGAGAGGAACAAACTACGGCAGGCAAAAGGTGACATAACTATTCACAGCTTCGTATTTTGCTAGACTGGTAAAAAACAGGGATTTATTTAATCTGTTTTCTCATTAGAACAAAAGTGTTTGGCTGCTAAGCAGCGTGAAGATGCCTGGGAGGGCAAATGAAGACACAGGTTTGTGTTTATGTGAACTATGAAGCGTTTTGATTTGATCATCAGTTCATGCCTGAAGGGGTTTATCTGTGGGTTTGGGGTCTGAAGGCTTCGTATCTCACAACCCCCTCCAGCAGGACTACTGCCAAACCAGCACAGATTGAACCAAAGCCACAACAACAGGGAAACGGGTTCATCGAATCAAAGTGTGAGAGCCACACAAACTCCAACAGGGACGTTTTGTAATTTTATATCTCTCTTCTTGAGATTCGTTTTGAATTGTGAGCTTTGCCCTGTAAATGTTTATGATTGTTTTCAGTTTTGGAAAGGCCATTTTAATGTATTTTGGTTAAAGAATGTTTTTCTCTTTAGTGACTAAAACTAGATCACATGTCAGTGTGATTTCACTTTCCTTATTTTGGTTTTCATTTTTTATTTCAGTAAAGAGAAAAGTCTGATGATGTCTTTCATGCCATTTAAACAAAACATTTTTTTTAAGTGAGTGAATCATAAAATCTGTCAGCTCAAAATAAAAAGGAAATAGGAAAGATGTTTTAAAAAAAATTAGGTCAAGCATCATGGTAGTACATGTAAATTGCAGATTTTAATGAAAATTGTAATTATAGTTACTATTCTGTAAATCGTAATTGAGAATTGCAAAAAAATGAATTTGTAAGAATGAGGTGAGACTAAAGTCCATTGTGAGTATTCTATTTAATGCCAGTCAAGTCTTTTGCAAACCAGCAGCACATTCTAACAGAACTTTTTTTTTTGTTTTTTTGTATGTGTTCTTTCATCATTACTGCAAATATTGTGCTGTTAGCGTTTATCTCCAAAAGATTTTGTTCAGGCACTAAACTGACAGACACACACTCAAGTGTCTGTTGTTCTCTGATGTTGTTGCACTTGAATTCCCAGCTGTGCTCTGAATAAAAATGTTGAAATCTTTCTCTAGAATATCATTCATGTATTGTTAACAAGTCTTTTACGTTTTCAAGTTATCATTCGTTCACACCACCTAGAAGGATCACGTCACAGATGAACGATATCGTTCGAATTACTTTAAGAACGTTTTTTGATTAAAGACATTGACAGCCAATCAGAATCCACCAGCGGTTGAAAGCGCGCGAACATTTAAAGCGGTAGATGACAAAACTGCAGCGCGCGCTTTTAATTCACAGAACGTCATCGACCGAGCGACCGTTGGTGTGGACGCTGAATCAGGTTAGACGCCATATTTCATTTAGCTAGGAATGAAAACGAGACTTTACAATGGCGCACACACTGTATTAAGGTCTTCGAGCATGTTTTCACAACTTTAAAAACGGGTTCGTGGCGTATTCGTCAAGAGTTTTTCATAATTTGTTGTTAAACAACAGGACAGTCCATTACACGCAAGGTACTTACGAACGTTTTTTGATTAAAGACATTGACAGCCAATCAGAATCCACCAGCGGTTGAAAGCGCGCGAACATTTAAAGCGGTAGATGACAAAACTGCAGCGCGCGCTTTTAATTCACAGAACGTCATCGACCGAGCGACCGTTGGTGTGGACGCTGAATCAGGTTAGACGCCATATTTCATTTAGCTAGGAATGAAAACGAGACTTTACAATGGCGCACACACTGTATTAAGGTCTTAGAGCATGTTTTCACAACTTTAAAAACGGGTTCGTGGCGTATTTGTCAAGAGTTTTTCATTATTTGTTGTTAAACAGGACAGTCCATTACACGCAAGGTACTTACGCGCCTCACAGCCTCGTTTTCATTCCTATCAGAAATTAACTACCCTGACTAAAATCTGTTCTTGTAATGAACCTTTCTAAAGTAACGTTACAGAAAAACTAACCCGATTAACTGCCAGTAATTACAGGTCTAATAGTTTGAACTTAAAACGGATGCCTAAACCAGGACTGGTCGAAAACAAAAAAGCCATTTAAGCACATCTTCCGTTCAAATCCATCTTATTTCAACATTTTTATTATAATTTTGGCACTGAAATGCAGAGAATAAGTGAAATAGATAAAATAGAAAAAAACAAAAAAGTTAGATATTGTAATATTTACTTTCTTCCCACAACCCTTAATCAAGTTCTTTTCGGCCTTTTATAGTAAAATGTTTGGGCAGCTCTTCTAGTCACCAACCAGAAGAATGATCAAAAGTAATGCTAATGATTGTATTTAAAAAAAACAAACCAGACGGTCAACAAAAACACTCCGATTGAACAGCGGTCATGTGATCTGATGAGGATTTTGTAATGTTTATTTTGTACATTTTAAAAACAAGCAGTAAAAAAAACAAACATACAATTTATATATTTATAACATCATGACTTCAAATAACTTGGGGTGGGAAGAAACAAAACAGAACAGAAACCCTCATTTCACAGAGTGAGGAGCAACACACACACACGGCTTGAGTTTCAGTACCAGAACACACTCGCACACACACACACACACACAGACTAAAACCCCATTTGATAATCACAGGAGAAAAATTAAATCGCATTTAAAAAAAAAAAAACACTAAATGAATAGAAAGAAAAAAAAGTGAACACGTTAAACAGTGGGAATGTTCCAGCACGAAATCAAATTAAAACGACTAAAAGCAAAAACACAAGGCATTAAAAAAAAGACATGGTTACTCATCGAGTTTGAAACACAGTAGTTATTTACACCTGAAGATTCTCTAAATGGACCGGTTTCCTCAAATACTTAAAATTAAAATAATAATAATAATAATGCAAAAACAGGAAGTGCACGCTCATGTGAGGAAGTTAGTTGAAGCATTCCCTTGTGTTTCCTGGCCATGAGTCACACTGATGCGAGGAAGAGGAGGGACGAAGTGTTTGTGGAGGGGAAGGCAGAGTTTGAGTTTAGTCCATCAGCGTTTATGGATCCAGCAAAAACCAGGAGGAGAAACAAGAGCGTTTACAGTAGCCGTATGGTTTCATAAAAGACAGAAATCCGGCTTCAGAGGAGAGAGAGAGAGTCACAGAGCTTTTCAACTGGACACGAGAAAGAAAAACAAACAAAACGGGACGAGCAGAAGTCCTTTTGTCATGAGAGTGAGAGGATGGAGGATGAGAGTTCAGCAGTCACTTCACTGCGCCTGAAGAAAGACGAGAAAACACGGTCACATCGCCGCTGCATATGGAAACACAAAACTGAGCAACACAGGTCAATCACAACTTCCAATTACGCCTTTAAAAACCTTGGCAAGGCAAGTTCATTTATATTGCACATTTCATACACAATGGTAATTCAAAGTGCTTTACATAAAAGTAAAATAATCATAAAAAAAAAAAAATCACAAAAATAGGAATTTAAAAACTTTGAAAATGATTTAAAACTGGATTTAAAATTACACAATGGTAATTCAAAGTGCTTTACATAAAAGTAAAATAATCATTAAAAAAAAAAAATCACAAAAATAGGAATTTAAAAACTTTGAAAATGATTTAAAACTGGATTTAAAATTAATTTAAGACAGTTAAAAATAGAAAGTGATTATACATAATCATGACAACTTGCCTTGCCTAAAAACCTTGAGAAAAAAACTAAACGTAATACTTGAAGTACAAACATTTTACACTCGGGGAATTTTTATTTTCATAATTTGTTTATATTAAATTATCAATTGGTATTTCAGATGCTTAAGTGTAATTTACAAAAAATATAATTTGAAAATATGAATTATTTATAGAATTTTCCATAATATACGTTTGGAAATAAAAATACTTTAATAGTGTAACTTATTCAATTCAATCTAATTTAATCTTCAGCATAGAAAACTTGATATTCATTTTCTCAATCAATTAAAAATACATAATGTACATAATAAAACTCTAAATTCAATGAATATATTATTCTTTATTTATAATTATTTTGATTATTTTTAATATATATTTTTTTTTATTTAATCTTAAGTCTTAAAAACTTAAGGTATATTATTTTTTGCCAATCACTTAAAAATAAAATACAGTGTACGTAATATACAAAAATAAATTAATTGAATTTATACTCGTTTATAATTGTTTATATTTATAATATTCAATTATTAATAGACGTCATATTGAAAGCTATGTTTATGCATAATTAAAAATTAAAATGCATACTATTTACTTAATATCTTTTATAATAATTTAAAGAATGTTATATATCAAAGTTTAGTTGGCAAACAGAAACTTTAATAATGTGACTTAATATTTCTAATTTAATTGAGTTTAAAGCATCAAAACCGTAAGTTATTTTAATTTCAGCCAATCAGTTAACTTGTCAATTTTAAACTAGTTAAATTAGTTTGCATTATTACTCAACTTTAATTAAACATGAATTTGAATCTACTTGCCATCACTGGCTGTTCAGACTCATGTAAACAGTACAGAGGTGTGATTTGTGTTTGTACCTGTTGGCCCTGCGGTGTGGCGCCTGGCTGTCCCGCGGCCTGTCCCGTCTGTCCATAATAAGCAGCCTGCTGTCTGTAGTACTCCGCCCATGCGGCGCTGTAGTCCGTCTGTCCCGCCGCTGCAGCTCCCGGGGCTTGAGCTCCTCCTGCGGCGGGAGAAGCACCTCCTCCTGCTGCATCTGATAGAGATGAGAGATGATTTTCATCAGCAAAACACGGAGCTGTAAGAAAAGGCAGCCTGAATGCCAGCAGATTCACTCACAGGAATTTCTCTACTCTCTCTTTACTAAACACAATGAGGAATGAGCGCTCATACCCATCTTTTTGTAGTACTCCTCCCAGGCCTTGGTGTAGTCGGGCTGGGCGGCGCCGGGAGCAGCATGGCTCTGGTCAGCAGGAGCGGGAGCGGCCGGTTGGGCCGCAGGCGTCTGTCCGGGCATAGCGCCCCCTGCGGGCTGCTGGTAGTACTGTGCATAATAAGCTGCCCAGGCCGCGTTATGATCCGCTGCTGCTTTACCCGAGAGAAACACACACACATTCACTTTATACTTCAAATACTTGAGCCAAAGCAACTAACAAAGATGAGCAGAGCCTCAGGAGAAACAAGATCAAATTAATGTTTAACCAAATAAAATGACTCCATTAAAAGATCCACTTTTTAAAATTTCACAGTTCAAAAGTTTGGGGACAGCAAGGTGTTTTTTTTTTTTTTTTTAAAGAGAAGTAAATTTTATTTAGTAAGTAGGCATTAAACTGTGACAGGAACATTAAAAGACAGTTATTTAAGTATCACAGATATACAATTATATATTTTTCTTAACTGGATTTTTTCCCCCTCATATTTTCTGTTTTCACTAAGTTCAGCTAAAGTTTTAGTAATTTTGTTGTGTCTGTCATTTTTATTAGTTTAAAGTTTTTAGCAATTTGTATTTATTGGTTTTAGTTTTTTATCTTTGGATATTTTAGCACTTTGAGTAAAATTTTTATTTTATTTTACCTAACAATATTTTACAAAGGATTTCCATTTTAAATCACGGTTTAAAAAAACAAACAAACAAAACAAAAAAAAAAAACGTATAAACAAATGTTTTAAGCTGTTTTGAAAATTCACTGCTGATCACAGGAATAAATTACACTTTAAAATATACTACAAAAGAAAATAATTATTTTAAAATGTAACATTAAAAAAATATTACTTTTTTTAAAAAAGTTTTTTTGATCAAATGCAGCCTTGGTGAGTAGAAGAGACTTCTTTCAAAAACATAAAATGTTTACTGACCTCAAATCTTTAATTTGAATGTATTTTTTAAATGCCTGTATAATAATGGTAGTATTTGTATTTGACCATTTTAATCAGAGTATTTTGTAAATTTAATAAAAAAAATAAAAAAAAACTTCAGGATGCAATGTGACCTGAACATGAGAACTTGAACAGTCATGTGACTGTAGTAGCATAAGGTACTCAAGTACTTTTATTATGTGCTATAATCCTATCAAGACTTTAACACACAAGCACTGAAAGCATCAGTACAAATCGACTCACTGGGATCATGTGGCTGCCACTGCTGGTATGTGCTTCCCCAACCCTGAGGATACTGACCGCCAGGAGGACCACCGCTGGAGACACACAGACAGAACGACTGTGAACATGTGCAAACAAAACCTGCAAAGTCAAACATTAACCCTTTCCCTGAAGCTGATTCCCCATTAAAGCACTACTGACTGTGGTGGTCCACCAGGGGGTCCGGGCTGGTAGGGGTTCGGGCTGTAGGGGCCCATGGGTCCAGCAGGGCCTGGTCCACCCGGTCCAGGTCCAGGTCCAACAGGGCACAGGGGACCCTACGAGGAGAAGCAGACCAGTTAAAACCAGCGAACACGTCAAGATGAACACAAAAAGTGGTGTTTATTGTACCTCGATCTTGTCCTCGATCAGCTGTTTGGCGTGGTCGATCTGCTGAGGAGATCCCCGGATGATAAACAGTTTGAAGTTGGGGTCACCGTTGGGCGGCGGCTGGCGCGAGATCTCCACGAAGGCGCCCGTCTGCTGGTTGATGGCCTTCACGTTCTCGCCGCCTCGGCCGATCACCAGACCGCATTTGTGGGCGGGGATTGAAAAGGTCATCTCACCACCAGGTGGGCCCCAGTTTCCTGGGCCACGCCCCCTGCCACGCCCACCCGGAGGCATGCCTGTGCCCGGAGGACCGGGGGGACCCTGATGGACAGAACAGAGATGAACCAATGCAACCAAACACAGATGGAATCCAGTCAGAAAAATGGAACTAGCTACAGAACACGGAATGTCAAGTGAATTTGGCAAATTTAGGATAAAATAATCAAAATTAGGGCTGTACACAGAGATATGAACTAGTGCCTGTGACTAATAAACCGCAAAAAGACCACTTTTAAGCTACTGTGTGTGAATAAGTGGCATGGTTTACACAATCTCAAACACACGTGTGTGGTGTTTTCAGCATCTACTGCGTCACTATATCAGGGTACCTGCAGGATTTAAAAATAAAAGACATTTAAGACCTGCACAAATAAAATTAAGACCATATGAGTGGGGTAGGGTAATGTCCATGTTAACATTCATACTTTTTACAGTCATTTTACAGTTTATTTACAGTTCACATACAGGTTTTCACAAAGTTTTATAAAATTATAAACTTAACATTTCAGCCTTTAAACCATTTTTAAGAGATGAGAAAAGTATCAATTATTATATTAATTTATTATCAATCATTTATTATATAAAATAAATATATCTTAATGTCTTAATTGTTTATATTTTTATAATGCTTTAGTATTAGCTTCTTGTCGATCCACCAGTTCACATTTACAACTTTTTTTCCTCTGTATATGGGTTGATTTTCACTTTGGTCTGAACAAATAGCAGGTGGTCTTATTAAAGGGGTCATATGATGTTGCTAAAAAGAACATTATTTTGTGTATTTGGTGTAATGAAATGTTTATGCGGTTTAAGGTTAAAAAACCCACATTATTTTCCACATACTAGGGTTGTGACGGTGAGGAAATTTTCCCACCGGTTAATCAACGAGTGACAACACCTGTAATACCGGTATCACCGTTGGGGTGGGGTGTTAGTTCGTTTGAGTTTCCCTCTTTTCTTCGCTTTCAAATGGCTTGTAAAAGTGCCGTGCGCATTTTACGTTCACTTTCAAATTAGCGGCAATTCAATTCGGTGTCAAGCAATTGTTCGTTTGAGTTTTCCCTCTTTTCCTCTGATTTCTTGGCTTTCAAAT